TTTAAATTGTATTTTTGTTTTATAGGTCCTGTGTGATTTATGCTTTTAAAAGGCTCTGTTTTGATATGTTTCCAGGATTTGTTTCAAGATTTAGTGCTCCTTTTAGCTGTTCTTGTAGTGGTGGTTTGGTAATGACAAATTCTTTCAGCATTTATCCTTCATATATGATGTTTAATTTTGCTGGATACAGAATTCTTGGCTGATTATTGTTTTGTTTGAGGAGGCTGAAGATAGCGCCCCAAACTCTTCTAGCTTGTAGAGTTTCTTCTGATAAATTTGCTGTTAATCTTATAGGTTTTCCTTTATAGATTACCAAGTGCTTCTGTTTCATACCTTTTAAGATTCTTTCCTTTGTCTTAACTTTGAATAACCTGATGACAATGTTCCTCGGTGAAGATTTTTTTGTGATGAATTTCCCAGGTGTTCTTTTTGCTTCTTGTGTTTGCATGTCTAGATCTCTAGCAAGGCTGGGGAAGTTTTCCTCAATTATTCCCCCAAATATGTTTTGCAGGCTTTTAGAATTGTCTTCTTCCTCTGATACACTGATTATTCTTAGGTTTGGTCGTTTAATACAATCCCAGACTTCTTGGAGGCTTTGTTCATGTTTTCTTATCCTTTTTACTTTGTCTTTGTTGGATTGGGTTAATTCAAAAACCTTGTCTTCAAGCTCTAAATTTCTTAGTTTTTAAATGTTTTTATGTTTTGAGATGGATTCTTACTCTGTTGCTCAGGCTGGAGTGCAGTGGGATGATTGTGGCTCACTGCAACCTCTGCCTCCCAGGTTCAAATAATTCTCCTGCCTCAGCCTCCTGAGTAGCTGGGACTATGGCTGCATATCACCATGCCTGGCTAATTTTTGTATTTTTAGTAGAGATGGGGTTTCACTATGTTGACCAGGCTGGTCTTGAACTCCTGACCTTGTGATCTACCTGGTTCAGCCTCCCAAAGTTCTGGGATTACAGGAGTGAGCCACCATGTCTGGCCTGAATGTCTTTCTTCTACTTGTTCAATTCTATTGGTGAGACTTTCTAGAGCATTTTGCATTTCTAAAACTGTGTCCAAAATTTTCTAATTTTTTTTGTTTTTAATATAAGTTATCTATTTCCGCAAATAATTCTTTCTTCACTTTTTGCATAATTTTTTGGATTTCCTTGCATTGGGCTTTGCCTTTTACTAGTCCCTCCCTGATTAGCTTAATAACTAACCTCCTGAATTCTTTTTCAGGTAAATCAGGGATTTCTTCTTGGTTTGGATGCATTGCTGGTGAACTAAATGATTTTTTTGGGGTGTTGAAGAGTCTTGTTTTGTTGTATTACCAAGGTTGGTTTTTTCATTCCTTCTCATTTGGGTAGCCTAGGGAAGGGCTAGGGCTGAGGCTGCTATTCAGATTTTTTGGTCTCATGAGTGTTCCGTTGATGTAGTACTCTCCCCCTTTTCCTATGGATGTGGCTTCCAGTGAGCTGAACTGCAGTGATTGTCGTCTGTCTTCTGGGTCTAGCCACCTAGCTAGTCTACCCAGCTCCGGGCTGATATTGGGGCTTGTCTGTACAGAGTCCTGTGAGGTGAACCATCCAGGGTCTCTCAGCTATGGATACCAGCTCCTGTTCTAGTGGAGGTGGCAGAGAGTGCAATGGACTCCATGAGGGTCTTCAACTTTTGTGGCTTAATGCTTTATTTTTGTGCTCATTGGCCTCCTGCCAGAAGGTGGTGCTTTCCAGAAAGCATCAGCTGTAGTAGTGTGGACTGGTGGTGAGCAGGGCCCTAGGACTCCCAAGATTAAATGCCCTTTGTGTACCTAGGAGGATTATGGCTGCCTCTGCTGAGTCATGCAGGTTGTCAAGGAAGTGGGAGAAAGCTGGAAATCACAGGCCTCACCCAGCTCCCACATACACTAAAGGGCTGGTCTTACTTCCACTGTTATCCCTCAACACCCCCAAGTTTGGTTCCAAGTGGAGGGTGAGACAGGCTTGAAAACTTGCCCAAGGCTGTCTGCCTCCTAACTATAAGAGAAAAGGGCTTTAGTTCTTCCCCCGCCTGTGATGTCTGCACAACAGATTCATATCCTCCCCCAGGTTCTGGCCAGGAGGCTTCTTGCCCCGTTCGAATTGTTACAAAGTTCAGCTAGAGACCTTCTCCCTGTGGAGTTTTACCCCCTGCTCCTCTGGTCACCCTTCCAATAGATCCCTGTGGTGCCAGGCAGGAATGGGCTGCTTGGGGATCCAGCGAGTTCCCAGGGCCTTTCTGCTGCTTCCTCTACCCTTGTATTTTACTCGTCTCAGCTCTTTAACTTGACTCAACTCCAGGTGGGGTCAGAAACTTTTCCTGCAAACGGACCTTCAGCTTCTCCAGTGGGGGTGTGTGTTTGAGAGAGGAGGGTCTCCCTTTCCCAATTTCACGGCTGGGGCACTCACAGTGTTTGGGATGTCTCCTGGGTCCTGCAGGAGCACTCTGCTTCCTTCAGAAGGTCTATAGGTCCTCTCATAGGTTTGTTCTTGGAGTCGATCTGGAGCTAAAATTCCCAATTCCAGCCTCTGCATGCTGCTCTCCCTGGAGCTACAATCTAGTTCCTGCCTATATTTTGTTTTATTTTCATTAATATTTTGATACAGAGTCTTGCACTATTGCCCAGTCTGGAGGGCAGTGGTGCTGTCTTGGCTCACTGCAACCTCTGCCTCCTGGGTTCAAGCGATTCTTCTGCCTCAGCCTACACAATAGCTGGGACTACGGGCGCATGCCACTACACACAACTGATTTTTGTATTTTTAGTAGAGATAGGGTTTCACCATGTTGGCCAGGCTGATCTCCAGCTCCTGACCTAAGTAATCCGCCCACCTCAGCCTCCCAAAGTGCTGGGATTACAGGCGTGAGACACCACATCCAGCCAGTTTTTTAACTGACAAATAAAAATCGTATATATTTATTATTATACAGCATATTGTTTTGTACACATTGTGGAATGGCAAAAATGAGCTAATTAACATATGCCTTACCTTACATACTTACCAGTTTTTTTTTGTGGTGAAAACACTTAAAATTTACCCTCAGCAATTTTCAAGAATCAAGACATCATTATTCTCACAGTCTCTATAATGTTATGTAGTTTCTACAAAGTGAACGTTATCTTTGGTAGTCATATTGGAGGCATAAAATTTAAAATAAACAAGCAGATGTTTCTATTCTACCCAGGGCTGCTTAGTCCATTTTTGGAGTATTATATTCAGTTTTGAATTCCACAGATTAACAATAACATGGGAAATCTTGAGAATATTTACAGGAGAGTATTAAGGACAGTGAAGCAATTTGAAGCCATTGACACAGAGGAATTTTTCAGGAAACTGATAGTGTTTGCTGAGAAGAGAGACTTTGTGTATGTTTTTGGGGTGTTGGGAAAGATGTGTAGTATACAAAAACTGTCATGTGGAGCAGTGACTAATCTTATTTCATACTATCCCAAGGGATAGAAATGGAATTGATGGAAGTAGTTAAGGAGGTCAAGAGATTGAGAAGCTTCATGTACAATAGATGGGGAACAGTTTTGCAGTAAGTATTGAATAGAGTCAGAGAATTCCATTCCATGGAAAAAGACACTATTGAATTAATTTTTTTTTCAAAGGTGAAAGTAGCTGCCTCAATTTAATAGTTATGGAGGTTTATAAGTGGAGGTTCATGTTCAGTTCCCAAAGGATCATTGGGATAAATGACTTACTGTCCCTTTTGTCCCTGATGATCACTAGTTGTGTTGAGGATGAGGGTCTGAGGAAGCAATATGCTCAGATAGGGATTCTCAGGATGAGGGACAGGGGAGAGGAAATAGACATGGCTCCCAACTTCATGCATTCATTAACTGTTGTATTGGCTTAGCTTTTCTGGAAGCCAAGGGAGGTGGAGGTTGGGGACTGCAATGTCTATGAGTGTCTCTGTTTACCATCTGTAAACAGTTTGGCTGAGTGAGCCCATGATTATGCACTGAGTAGCAGTGGGAAGAAAGAAAACAGAGGCTGTGTGACTGGCACTATACTGGTCCCAGGACCTGTCTTGATTGATCCCATTCATCATTTTTAAAAATGCAATACCCTGGAATCTCAGTGATTCAAAGGACTGTACAGGTCAGCTTCCCAGGCAACTTCTGATTCAGACTGCTCAGAAAGACAGTGGCTTCTTAGAGGTTGGAGTTCCTGAAATAACTCACGATGACTGAAGAGAGTCTTGGATGAAAAAAAAATTAAGTTTTGGATAAAATGGAAACACATATATGAGCATTTAAAAGTCAGTTAGAAATTGTCCTACTATTCCTGCTTTATGGAATATATGACACATATATGGATACAGTCCCTATCTGCCTACTAATATAAAACATTTGTATTTTAAATGCATTTGGTTGATCTGTATGAATTTTCTTTCATTTCTGACAGTCTCCAAATCAAATTTTACTAGGAGAAGCTAGGAATTGGATGTAGGAGACTTTTCTCCTCTTTGGGTCCTGGAAACCACACATTGTTGCACAAAAGACAGAATTGAGTTCATTGTCCCCTGCTGAAGGGATCAGCTATTTTCCTGTAAAAGCTGTCATAGTGACATATTTCCCCGCATTTATACTGAAAAGTAGGGCATTTGCTTGTAAGACAGGTTGAAAACAATTTATTTGGCATTTCAGTAAAGGTGGAAAATGAACCAATATTCTTCTTTCTCTCCCTCCCTCCCTCCCTCCCTCCCTCCCTCCCTCCCTCCCTCCCTCCCTCCCTCCATTTCCTTCCTTTTTTGACAGTTTGCATGTAGGTAAAGCATGTTACAGCCTTAGAAAGGCTAATTAAAACCAATTATAGCTTGACTGACCTGTCATCACAATCAAATTACCAAAAGAACAACATAGCATATTTGGAAAACAGTTTCTTCTAGAGTGCATATGACTGATTTGGTCACATTTTATTTTAGGGATCTAAGTACAAGGATTACTTGGCCACAAACACCATTTTCCATGATCTTTTATTTTTCTATGGTAGGTCCTACTTTCAGAAAATATAAAGAAAGCAAGGAAGGCATGAGGAACAAATGGAAAGGTAAGATATGGAAGTCAAGTTTGCTTTAGATTAATTGGGATAGGAGAGATTTTTTTTTAGACTTTACCTTTAATTGTAGTTATTTTTGTCCTGTGGTTTGTCGAGTTTTCAAAACTCATTAGTGTGCCATAAGGAGCCCTCATGGCCTGACTGGAGCATTTTTCTTCAGTTTCGTTTCTTTCTTCAGAACACAATTCATGCCAGACACACCAATATGATCTCAATACTATTTCATAAAAAATCTCCAAATCAACTAAAATAGCTCTAGTTCATTCCTCTTGATTGTTACATAATATTCCATAATGAGAATGTATCATAATTTATTCAACCATTCCCTTGTAAATGGATGCTTACATTGGTTCCAGTTTTTATCACCACAAACAAAACTGTAAGAAGCAACCTTTTACACATATCATCACATGTTCGTGGTTCTAAGACAATTCTAGGAGTGGAGTTTCTGGGCAAAAAGATATAGATTTCTAATTTTAATATGTGTTGTTCAACTTACTTTAGAAAGAAACTATGACATTTCATATTTACACCAGCAATTTAATAAAGTATAATTTTCCTCATATTATCATAAAAAAGGTGTATTAGCCCATTTTCACACTGCTATAAAGATTTACTTGAGAACAAGTAATTTATAAAGGAAAGAGATATTATTGACTCATAGTTCCACCAGGCTCTGGAGGCCTCAGGAAATGTGCAATCATAGTGGAAGGCAACGGAGAAGCAAGCACCTTCTTCAAAAAGTGGCTGGAGACACAGAGAGTAAAGGAGGAAGTGCCATTTTTAAACCTTCAGATCTTGGGCAGACTGACTCATCATCATGAGAACAACATGGGGGGCACTTCCCCCATGATCCAATCACCTCCCACCAGATCCCTCCCTTGACACATGGAGATTACAATTCAAGATGAGGTTTGGTTAGGGACACAGAGCCAAACCATATTATTCTGCCCCTGGCCCTCCCAAATCTCATGTTCTTTTTACATTTCAAAACCAATCATGACTTCCTAACAGTCTTCTAAAGTTTTACTTCATTCCAGCATCAACTCAAAAGCCCAAGTCCAAAGTCTCATCTGAGACAAGGCAAGTCCCTTCTGCCTTTAAGCCCATAAAATAAAAAAGTTACTTACCTCCAAGATACAATGGGGGTACAGGCATTGGATAAATGTTACTGTTCCAACTAGGAAAAATTGGTCAAAATGAAGGAGCCACAGGCCCCATGCAAGTTTGAAACCCAGGAGGGCACTTACTAAATCTTAAAGCTCCAAAATGATCTTCTCTGACCCCATGTTTCACATCCAGGGCATGCTAATGCAAGAAATGCATTCTCTTGACTTTTGGCAGCTCCACACCTGTGGTTCTGGAGGGTACAGGCCCTGTGACTGCTTTCATAGGCTGCTGTTGAGTGCCTGTGGCTTTCTCAGGTGCACGGTGCAAGCTGTCAGTGGATCTACTATTCTGGGGTCTGGAGAATGGAACCATCTACTCACAGCTCCATTAGGCAGTGTCCCAGTAGGGACTCTGTATGGGGGCTCCAACTCCACATTTCCCTCTACATTACCCTGGTAGAGATTCTCCATGAGAGTTCCACCCTTGCAGAATACTTCTGCCTGGACATCTAGGCATACCATACATCCTCTGAAATCTAGATGGCAGTTCCAAAATCTCTCAGCTTTTGTCTTCTGTGTACCTGCAGGCCAAACACCAGGTGGAAGCTGCCAAAAGTTGTGGCTTGCATTCTCTTATGCCATGGTCCAAGCTGTACCTTGGCTCCCTTTAGCCATGGCTGGAGCTGGAGTGGCTGGGATGCAGAGAACCAACTACTGAGGCTGGATATACCAGCAGGGCCCTGAGCCTGGCCCACAAAACCATTTTCCTCTCCTAGACCTTTAGGTCTGTGATGGGAGAGGCTGCCTTGAAGATTTCTGAAATGCCCGGAGACATTTTACCCACTATCTTGATGATTAAGAGTTGGCTCCTCTTTACTTATGCAAATTTCTTCAGCCAGCTTCAATTTCTTGCCAGAAAATGGGTTTTTCTTTTCTACCACATGGTTTGGCTGCAAATTTTCCAAAATTTTATGCATTGCTTCCTTTTTAAACATAAGTTTCAATTTTCAATCATCTCTTTATGAACACATATGACTATATGGTTTCAGAAACATCCAGGCATGCATGTAATCTCAGCAATTCAGGAGGCAGAGGCGGGTGAGTCACTTGAGATCAGAAGTTTGAGACCAGCCTGACCAACATGGTGAAACCCCATCTCTACTAAAAATACAAATATTAGCTGGGGGTGGTGGCAGGTGCCTATAATCTCAGCTACTCAGGAGACTGAGGAAGGAGAATCACTTAGACTTGGGAAATGGAGGTTGCAGTGAGTCAAGATCACAGCATTGCACTACAGCCTAGGCAACAGAGCAAGACTTCATCTTAATAAAAATAAAAGAAAGAAAAAGAAAAATCCAGGTCACACCTTGAATATTTTACTGGTTAGGAATTTCTTCTTCCAGATACCCTAAATCATCTCTCTCAAGTTCAAAGTTCTACAGATCTCTAGGATAGGGAAAAATGTCACCAGACTCTTTGCTAAAGCATAGCAAGAGTGACTTTTGCTCCAGTTCCCAATAAGTGCTTCAGCTCCATCTGCCATCACTTCAGCCTAGACTTCACTGTCAATACCACTATCAGCATTTTGGTCAAAACAATTAACAAGTCTCTAGGAAGTTCCAAACTTCTCCACATCTTTTTGTCTTCTTCAGATCCCTCCAAACTGTTCCAGCCTCTGCCCATTGTCCAGTTTCAAAGTTGCTTTCACCTTTTCAATATCTTTATAGCAATGCCCCAAACCCCTGGTATCAATTTTCTGTATTAGTCCATTTTCACACTGCTGTAAAGAACTGCCCAAGACTGGGTAGTTTATAAAGGAAAGAATTTTAGTTGACTCACAGTTCCACATGGCTTAGGGGCCTCAGGAAACTTACAATCATGGTGAAAGGTGAAGGAAAAGAAAACACCTTCAGAAAGTAGGAGCAAAGAGATAGTGAGTGAAGGGAGAAGTGCCACTTTTAAACCGTCATATCTTGCGAGAACTCACTCACTATCAGAAGAACAACATGGGGAAAACAACACCCATGATCCAATCACCTCCCACCAGTTCCCTCCGTCAACATGTAGGGATTAAAATTTGAGATGAGATTTGGGTGGTGACACAGAGCCAAACCATGTGGATAGATATCATAGTTCTTCTAAATTTTTGTCCATTTGATGAATGTATAAGGTGAATTTGATTTCGATTTTCCTGACTACTAGAAAATTTGGGTGTTTAAAAAAATTTGGGTGTTTAAAAAAATTTGGGACAGGAGACATTTAAATTTGTTTTTAAGTAAAGTATCTGTTCAGGTCCTTTGCCTGCTTTTATACTAATTTTCTTTGTCAATTCATAAGAGCTCTTGGTATTTAATGGATATTATTTCTGAATTATAAAATTTTTCAAACAGTCATTTATCAACAGGCTGTTATCTTTTGTCATATATGAATTTAAAACATCTTTATATAAACAAATATTATCTTTTTTTTACGTTTAAAATAGCTTCTGGCTTTTCCGTGCTCCTAATTTGATTATGTAGTTTCCTGAATATATATTCTTGCAATACTTTTTGTCTATCTTTTTTAGCCAGCTTTGCTAGTTGGACTTATTAAACAAGATATATTATTTCCTGAATGAAACAAACTGTGTTTGCCATATATTAAATGTTCTTATATCCTGGGATTATTCTCTATTGCTATGCCAATGTTATCCTCATTTGATTAAAGTGGCTTTATAATATGTTCTGATATCTGGTTGGGTCAATCTTCTCTCCAGGTTGATTGCATTATATTTATCTATTAATTTTAAGATACTTCTAGTTTTATATTAACTGTTTTCACACAGGAGTGATGGTGTGTCTTTAAATATATTCAGATCTTGTTTTAAGTACTTCAATAATATTTTATATGTATCCTGTGTCTTTCTTGTTAAATATATTTCTATGAATTTTAAAGTAAATAGAATATATTTAGTTTTTATTGTCACTATTGGTGCTTAATGCTTAATTAAAACTATTAAATGTATCGTTTAAAAAAGACTATTAAATATACATATAGCACTTAAAACATTTCAAAAAATTAATTCCGCCAGTTTTTTTTCAACTACAGTCTCTTAATTTTGCTCTTACCCTTGACTGATAGTTTCACCTTTTACAGAATTCTAGACTGAAATTATTTTTCTTCATAACCTTGAAGGCACTAGTTCTTTCATATTCTGTGTTGCTGATAAACTTGATACTGGTTGGGTTCTCATTTCTTCATTGGTAAGTTTTATTTTTTCTCTGAGAAAATTTTTAGGGTCTTTCTTTTTATCTGCAGTGTTCTGAAATTTTACAGTTTCTGATTTGAAGTATTTCATTTTGCCATTTACTCTGCTGAAAACTCAGTGGAACATTTCAATTTAGAAATTTCACTTTTTTTCAGCTCTATACATTTTCTTCTTTAAAAATGTATTTTGTCATTTCCTTACATTTTTTTTCACAAAAGTTCTTACTTTCACAAAGTCTTCTTAGCCTAACATTGAGTGTCCTGAATTCATTTCCTTTGTCTCTAATTTTTTTATCTTCTACATTTTAGAAACAGAAATCTGTGTTTAGCTTCCCTGAGCCAAACCCTTCATGACCACCTGCGTCCCTCATGTAACATAAGCAAAAATATGTTTGCTGTAAGCTACTGAGACTTCGAGGTTGTTTGTTGCAGAGCAATCACTAAGATGATCTGTCTACTTCTTTGTTTTTTGCAGTATACACCAGTAGGTTGTCTTTTAAATGCTTTGATGTATATCTTTCTATTTTTCTAATCCCCCCCTTTTTAAAATAATGATTTGTATTTTTATGTCTTTGCATTTGGATTTCTTTGATTTCTTAAGGACACTTTTTTTTAAGTTTATCATCTGTTTTCTTT